TGATCTGCCAACTTTTCTTTGCCATTTTATAAACCTTTGCAGATTAATTTGTAACTCAAAGAAGTATTCTACGCATAAACGAAAGAGTGTACTTTAATTTAATATAAGATTCATTAAAATCTATTCACTTTTAGTATAAAAAATATTTATTGAAACTTTCCAAAGAAATCATGAAGCTTTGTGCAAAATCATAAGAAAAGAAAATGCTTCACGTTCACAATTTCGAAAATACTTTCTAATTTACGTAAACGTTACTTCTTTAGAAGCGCTATAAACATAATTAAAAGTAAACTTGTATCCGATGGTAGTTCTCGATGTTCGAATTCTTAATCCCTATAAACTGTTTGTAATGTTGAAATATATTGACACATTAATCAAGGACAAATTTGATGTTCTAAATATCGTTTCCTTGCCTCTCTCCTGTTATTCAACAGTTAAGTTTAAATACAGATTCGATTATTGTCTATCAAACGGTCAAGATACAAGTTAGAACTTCTGTATTTCCATTTTTGTTATACATTATACAGTTGTAGCAAAACTCTTAATCTACATAAAAAAAATAATTCTAAAGATAAAGCATTGAATTCTTTAGAAACGAAATAGATTTTGTAAGTTAATATAACGTGTAAATATAAAGTGTTCAATAGTGAAAGTTAAAGAAAGGAAACAAAAAACAAAGAACTTTTAACAAGTTATCAAATTACTTAGGTATAAAGATCACAAAAGCCGATATTTGTTAATTAAATATTGTTTTTAATGGATACAAAAACTGATAATGCAACGTTAAGAAAGGAGATACTTAGTATATATGACTCGAATTCTATGGACTTACCGATGTGGCTAAATTATTTTGAGTTTTTAATCGATCTTATAGAACTAAAGGATAATAATAAGGGTCCATTTCTATTAAATATGCTAAAACCTTCTGTAATTAAAAAAATTCAAGAAAATGTATCTCCTTCCGACCCTTATAATCTTTCATACGATAAACTCGTGTCCGTGTTAGATAAATTATTCGCGTATCCTCGTGGAATAAATCTAGCTGACTATTGTTATATGTTACGGGACCAATTTCCGTTCGAATCTGTACAACACTACGTCCGTACATTAAGGAGATTATTTTTTAAATGCACTCCTACCATTAAAAATACGACTAACATGAAGAATCGATTTTTAATTGGATTATATGACAAGGAAACTAAAAAGTTTTTGGAAAATAATAAAAACACATCATTTGGTATGGTAGTAGCTATCGCTAAGCAAAAGGAATTTGCTATGAAACGATCAGGGGAATTATTTTTAGAGTAATATCATTTAATGTGATTATATTTTTCAATCGAACATATATAAAAGCATATAAAACAAATAGAGCATACATTGTGGGCATATATTTTGATAAAATACATTGATTCGTTTTATGTTGCTACCTTTGATCGGCTAACGAGAAAAAGTTTACAATAATGCTTTGTAATGATATGTTTTTATTTTTTATATTATTATCCTGCACGTTATTACAACCATTAAAAATTGTAATTTTTGATCTTATTTCTTTGTAACACTATGTTGATATTAAAAACAATTAATTTTTTATTAGTGGGAAGGCGAAAATGAAAATTATTATTTGTTCTTTTAAACTCTTCTTGATACTTTAAGTAAAAATAGTTGATTTTATTCATAGAGAATTAAATTTTGGTTATTAATATATTAAACATTTTAATCATTTTGATACTTTCCAAAATACACGAATTCCTTTGTATATTCGTATAGTCCAATCATTATGTACATTTGAAAAAGAAAATGAACTGAATAGGGTACTTTTTTTTATATATTGTAAAGTAGACCTAAAAAAACTTAACCTCAAATTGTCGACCGCGATATCATATGAACTTTTTCCGCCATCTTGAAAAACAAGGGTAAATTTTATCTTTTGCGATAACTCGGTACCCCGTAAGCTTATCATTGTAAGAAAAAAAATGATCAGCTGAAAATTCTACGCCTAAAGTGAAACTTTGTTCAAGTTTTTACTAACTTTGTTAAGAAACAATGTCAGAATTCAAATCATATATATATATATGTATGTATAATAGCTCTTATTAGATATGTTTTTATTTACTTATAAACCATTCAAAATAAAATATTGTTTAATTTTTATTCGATTCATGACATAATTATAGGAATTGAATTATTTCATTGTCAGCTTGCTTATCTAAATGAATTTATCACTCAATTAATTCGGATATGTCAGAAATAGGAAAAAACAACGTCCTAATGTACTTGTATGATACTTTTCTAAAATTTATAATTATACGATAATCTTATCTGTACACGAATAAACGATTATTTCTTATCACAAAAACTATTGAAACATCTAATGCTTTATTTATAGATGTATCATCTACACACATTCCAAAGTACAATATCAAAATTGCAGTTATTCTTTAAACAATAAGTGAATCTCGAAAATATGATAAACTTTATCATATAAATTGTATGTAAGAATAATATTGAGAAAAAAATATATCTATATTAATTTATCCTCTTTTTAAAATCCAATCATATATCATACTCGTTGCATTAAGAATAATCCAACAATATCGTTTGAGATAAGAGAAAAAGAATAATTAATTATTATTACATCTGGAAAAATAATCCTCATAAAAGATAGTTTATATAATTGTTTAGTTTTTTTTATCTATTTATGATATACAGTAAATCCACAGTATAGTTACAATCTCGGGGATAAGTAACTTTTCAAAGTGGATCTCAAGGGGCACGGTTAATAATTTTTAAACAAATGGCGAAAAAATACCTGTACTTACTAATCCAATCAAATAATTTTTTAACGGACTCTTTTTTTACAGAACATTTTTTTGACTGCAATATACGATATAACACTAAAAATTATTAATACCTAAAATATATCACTAATAAATACTTATATCACTAATAAATAAATAATGAATAATTGTAAATACGTGTTGTTCATTTTAACACATTTTTATTTTGGAATCTTAATTTGGATGTAAGCTACAAATGTTTTTATTTATTTGCTATAATATGATATAATTTTCCCTCGATTGTTTTGGGAAAAGATAAAAGAATGTGAGAGACTAACTCAAGAAGGGGTAATTATTGAAAGCATAAGTAAATTAAGAATTTACTGTAATTAAAAATTCGATTAATTCAAGCTGATTATTTAAACGAATTTATCATCAAATTAATGCAAATAATTGACTGAACTATATGAATTTTGACTAATTATGGTAATCTATAGATGAAAGAAAACAATTTATCGGATAATGTATTAAGTTTTATTTTATTATTTCTTTTCACATGTCGTTAAACAAGTAAAGAGTATGTAATATGGTACGTTATATATACTATATTATATTTAAAATGGATAAGGTACGCATCACATAGGAAATAAATGTCGATGAGAAATTTTGAATAAATTTAGTTAATTGATAGAAGAACGCGTTGAAGATGATATTTTGTCGTTTCCAACGATTGCACACGAAGAAGAAGTTCTTTGCCTAATGCATCGATGAAACGATGCAAGAAGATCTTATATAAGATGAAAATACAGAATAATGAGATATAATGAAAGAATAATTATCGTATCGACGATCGTAGAAAGTACGAGCTACTTATGGTAAGAGAAAATATTGACTTTCAAAGTAACATTTAGTATTTTAATTACTCGAGATATATAAGATATTGCAAGAACAAAGATTAAAATCGGATTGATACACGACTTTATTTTCGATAAAATCGATTTCTCGAGTAACAATTGGAATAAATTCGGCATTTTAACGAGCACAGCCTTAAAGGACTTCAATGGTCTAAATATTTCAGTATGTATGCATATATACATATACACATACCATACATACATATGCATATACAAATGTATACACACACATACACCGACACACATGTATATATATACGTTTGTATTTGCAATATGTTCATCTAAAGGTCTCTCAATACCTATACATGTATGTTGTATATGATAAGTATATTTAGCACAACTAACAATAGATAAATCATACATCTTTAAGATTGAATTGATATTAAAATTCGAAGAAAAAAATCAATGAAAACTAATTAATTGATTAGTTTCGAAATAAAGCGACAGATCACTGATATAATAACAAATATTTGTTCTCGAGTATTTTTATACTACACTATCTACAAAAACACTCACAAATGTTGAAAGAAACATAAGTATGTGCCTACTACTAGATTTTGTTTCTTCCCCCAAAAAATTGAAATACGGAAGCACATATTGGCCGTATTCTTTCATATTATCTGTTGATTGTCTCGAAAATGGAGCTCATATCCTTCTTTCATAGCGATAATATATGTATATATAAATATGTTTATCATTTAAGCTACATCTTTGTAGAAATAGATATAGAAAGTTGATAAATCAAATAATTGAAGATAAATATTAACTCTAATTGAAATAGCATTATTCGATTTAATATATCTATTTGATAAATTAAAACACAATAAATAATATGTGTGTAAAATCTAAGTAAATATATATATATTATATATTTAGATCGTAAAAGAGTATTTCTAATATTTCTATAATGGCTTTTATTAAGCAAAAGCAGTCAATTAAAACTATTAGCAATTTGCGTAAATTTTGTTGAACGTTTTCCCGTGACTATATTAACTAACTTTAAAAACCTACAATTTGTTTGAATAAAGGAAAATGGATACAAGCTCTGTTCCTAATCGAGACTTTGATCTACATTGTTGGAGCAGTTCTTGTTAGACGAGAATAATGTTCACATTGTCAACATTGAAAAATTCTACTAATTTTTTTTTTTTTTTTTTTAATTATTATTATTATTATTATAATCTACCCGTCAACTATATTTTTGTTGTTTTTTTTTTTTTTGTTTTGTTATGTTTTGGTTAGCGAAATAAAAACGAACAATAAGTGCAACTTCGAAACAAAATACATAATGAGAAAAAATTGTTTTTTCTTTTTTTCTTTTTTTCTTGCTATACGTATCGATATATTATTATCTTAATCATTTTGTATAAGTGTGTATGTGTGTATACGCGTATATATAATATATTACTTCAAATCGATATATATATATTATATATACTCTGGAAGGCGACAGTAGAAACTACTGAAGTAAATGCAATAATATAATGCGGAGAAGAGAAATGCAGCGATCGTTTAAAAATGGATTAAAATTTTGTCATCTCTAACTCGATCGGCCTATTATTCGATTCGAGAAGTCATTTATTTAAATTGATCTCCTTTTCTTTGTTTTTTTTTCTTTTTTTTTTTTTTTTTTACAACCGCCATCAAATACAATTTTCTCCGCTAAATCGAAAATTCGAATTCGTCCTACGAATCCCTTTTCAACGATCGGCACCAGGCGTCTCGTTATTATCTTATAACCATAATAATACATTTTACGCGCTAACATGGGCGTATTATTTCTTTAAAAAATACATCGAAAGATTTGTCTATGTTGGTTTACAACATGGAGAAATGACAAAGTATTTTACGTTTCGTCCGTATTTTACTCTATGTCATTATGAAAGATATAATTACTAAAATGGAGAGCATGATAGATAGAGAGAGAGAGAGAGAGAGAGAGAGAGAGAAAGAGAGAGAGAGATGGAAAGAGAAGATGGAAAGAGTAAAATAAAAAAAAAAATAGAGAGTAGAGGAAAATGTTAGGAAAGAGAGTAACCCTGAGTGAAAACAGATAACGTCAATTATGAAAAAAAAAAAAAAAAGAAAATACTAATAGGTAACAATATACAAAGAATAGACCGATGAGGTAAAGCTAATAAGAGAGATATTATCTTAAATATGTTGCACAAATTCTGGATTAAGAAACGAGAAACCCATAAACTCCGTTTGATCCAAATTCATCATGAAGAGTTTGTCTGTTGGGGTCAAGTCCGTTTTTTCCGATGTAAATTGTTTGTCAAAATTGCTTACATCTTTGGGATGTTTCTGAAAGTAAAGATTATAATAATAATAATGTTAATGTGATCAATGTTGATTAATGTAGGGGGTGTAGCATTAAAAATAATTATTTTCTTATAAATTTATATATATGATGTTCTCTCGAAACTGTTTTATCGACTGTTGGTATTATATCAATAAGAAAAGAAAAAGAAAAAAATAACATAAAAATTAATATAGTAAATTTAATAAAGGATTATATCTTACGATCTTTGGTTTAAAAGGTGGTTGCACTTCGCGATTTTCTATTTTTTCCCAATCAATGTGCCTAAAGAAAACATGACTACGGACGTCTTCTTCACCTCTAAAACCGCAGCCGAGTCTTCTGCTCGGATTTTTCGTAAGGAACTGAAATAATAAAGACAAATATATCATAGGCTGAAAAAAATAAAACCAAAAAAAAAAGAGAATAAAGTAGAACCTTTGTTAGAAATAAGTGTATTGTATTTAACGAATTAGTACGAATGTAGTGCATAAAAAATTCTGCAGATGACATAATTTTGAGAGTGTATAAATATTATAAATATGAGTGAACGAATGTAAATGAGTTATAATATAGATAATTTAGAATATATAAACACTATATAAAGATAGATACAGTCAGTCACAAAAATATTCTAACAACAGTATTGATTTGATATTTATGTTCTGTATTTTAACTAAATCTATAAATGACTAAAAAAAATCTATATATAATACTATGATAGAGAGCATGTTGTTTTCAAATAAAAAGAAAAATATAAAAGATATTTATTTATCATAAATGATTGTTTCAATAATGAAAGAAAATCGAATAAATCCGGAATTTTTAGATCACAAAAATATAACTTATTAAGATTATAGAATACAAAAGTCATTGTTCCCATTGATTTTTAACGATAGTTTGATTTAAATTAAAATCCTAAAAAACTACTGAAAATTATGCGAACACACACTATACAAAAAAATAAATAATCAATATATTTAAAATACATATTATGCCCAAATGTAGTACTTATTTTTTGATGGATGACATATTCAGATTGAACGTTATTATTTTTGTTAACAAACAATTAATATCTTATTCGAAAACTCATCGTCAAAATAATTAAACACGACAGTTATTTAAGTCAACTTTCTATTAATTCATAAAATGATAAAATAATTTTAATTAGTAATGTGTATGTATAAAAATGATCATCACGGACTAATTATTTTATAATCCTAACACTTATGTCTTCCAATTAATTCGAATAATCGAGGTTCCATGGTATTTTAGAAATAAACGGATTATTGAACAAAATCTTACTGCTTTGCAGACTTCTTTTGCTTCTTTGGACAAACTTTTGGGATAACTGACGTTATGATTTGTTATTGCTGCAAAGAGTTCTTCTTCATCTTCACCATCAAATGGTGGTTGTCCAACAAGCATTTCGTAAAGAAGTACTCCATATGCCCACCAATCTACAGATTTTCCATACGGTTGATATAAGATTATCTAAAACATAAATATTCATTAGTATTATATTAACAACATTAACAAAAATAACTAAGTTTACCTCGGGTGCTATGTAATCTGGTGTACCACAAAATGTTTTAGCTGTTTTGTCACCCGATATTCCTTCTTTGCACATTCCAAAATCAGCAATCTTTATATGACCGTCCTGATCAAGCAAAACATTGTCAAGTTTTAAATCACGATAGACGATACCGCGACCATGTAAAAAGAACAGTCCGATTGCGATTTCTGACGCATAGAATCTGAAAATGCAGAAAACTAATATTTTAGAGAGAGTCATCTTATTATGGTTTATAGATTTAATATTTATATATATGAATTTTGTTTTTCTTTCTTTATAAGACTTAAAAAACACTAACACATATTCTTTCATATTTTCCCCAATATTAATTCAAATTCTTTTACTTTCAAAAATTAAATAATACATTCATTGAAAATCAAATTTTTGTAACATTAAATTATTAAACGTAATTACTCTAATGATTATTATTTAACAAAAGTTGTATTATTTTCAATTGGATGCACGTAATAATTAATCGGATACAATAGCATTATTAATAATATAAAAATTACACTTATATTAAAGTCAAACAAAAAGAAGCAATAATATTATATGGAGAATATAATTTAAATATTTAAAATATATCGTGAGATATGTTTATTTTTAATTATAATTAGCGTGTGCTAAAATAAAAGTTTATTCAATATTTCGTGCAAGAAATAATAGTAATTTGTTATTAGAAAATACACAACCCCCTTGATAATATTTAAGAAAAATTGTTCGTAAGATTTTTTTCGACGTGTATTTTTACGTAATCTTTAATATCATTAACATTATCGATTTGTAAATCAGATAAATACAAAGATATATACTAACACTGCTACGGGTTCTTTAAATTTGCCACACTGTTGAATCTGGTACATTAAATCACCACCATTTACATACTCCATAACAAAATATAGACGATCCTAAAACGATAACAATTTAAATTCCAAGAAAATTGAACAAACATAATACAAATATAATGATATAATAAATTTGTTATAATATATAAAGCGAGTATATAGAAAGTATTCCGTATCTAATTAATTTTTTAAAAGGCTTTGTGATATTGTTAACAAATTTTTTATTAACAAGAAATATGAGTATTTTCTTTAAAACCTTTAGAATATATACGACGTAAAAAATAATAATTTATTTATACAATTTTCAAAATTAATAAGAAAAAACAAAAAACAAATTGAAATGTACAGGCAAAAAGTATTAGTAAATCTCGTAAGTTTTCCAAGATTTAATTTAATTTAACCTTTCGTATTCTTTAATTTTCTTTTTACCTACCAACAACTTATTTAATTTAAAAAATAGGTCAAAGAAAGAAAATCTAAATAAAATGTTGTATTGCAACAGTGCAAAGTGTTAAACAAATATTATAATATTGTTATAAGAAATGTGATATCAGACAACACTTGACATAGGAATGGTAAGAATTAAAACTAGAAAATTAAATGATACAACCAATTCATATTTTGTAGAATGTTTTTTCAAATTTTATAACTTCTACTATTCTTATTGACATTAAATTAACTAAATTTGAAGTTATGTATTGTGAAATTTTGTTTTATAATTATAGTATATAAATTAATTAAATTTGAAGTTACGTATTGTGAAATTTTGTTTTATAATTATAGTATATTTTGTAACAAAATATTTGTTACAGACTACACTATCGTGATACGTTTGATTTCATATAAAATTATCCACTGTACTAAAAGAAACCATAAATATTTAAATAATTTGTTAAATGTTCAACTGTTTCTTGTACACTTATTTTTGGATTTTGTTTTATCATTCTTCTAACAATAATTCGTTTACTATACTGATTGATTTTTCGTTGACTTCCATTTCTTGAGATACAGTGTTTTTCGTAGTCCATATTTAATCATACATTTGTTATTCTTCGAAATAATCTTCATTATTTTCAATAATTTTGATTTTCGATATGACGGTTATAAAATGGCAGGAGATTATTTAAATTCAAACAAGAGTAATAAATAATTTAATATCAATGAACCTTGAATTAATTGTTACATTTAATACAAGTAAATTATTATTAGTTTTCTTATTCTTATTCTTAAGATTTTGGAAAATATGCTCATATTCATTGTTTATACAAAATTAATGAATAAAACAATTTCACAAAGCTTTTTGTTAAAAATTAATTGGTGTACGAATACTCTCTCAATACCCATTGTATGTTACAGATATAAATATAATAAAGTTATATTAAAACGTACCATAGTTTGAAAACAAGAATGTAATTGTACAAGAAAAGGAGGCTTGCTCGAAAGAGCAAGAACTCGTTTTTCAGCCATCGTACACTCCACGTCATCATCTTGAATAATAATATCTTTCTTGAGTATCTTTATGGCATATAATTCGTTAGTTCCTCTTCTTTCTGCTAACAGCACCTTTATAATAACAAACAAAACAATTAATTCCTCCTGATAGTATTTAATTCTTATACAATATAATATACAGAAAAATATCTGGTTTATTCATAAATTCGTTGGTATTAGTGTTACTAGAAATTATTATTCGATAAATTCTGTGAGAATTATTTATTCACAAAATTTGAATACTTTTCTTTTTTAATTTTAACCCAAAATTGAATTATATTATACTTTTTTTTGCGAATCATTAAAATTTGTCCACAGACAAACGGTTGAGTAACATTGTCTTATATTATTGTATATTGTACCAGTCACGTTGACTTCAACGAGATTTTATTCTCAATAAGATCATTTAAAAATTTATAAAATAAAATAAAAATAATTAAAATAAAAAATGTACTAATTTTTACAGATAAAAAATATAAGTGATATATTTAATATGCATATGCATAGGAATGTTTAACAAGAAATTGATATAAAACATATGAAATATGCAAAATATACAAAATATACAAAATAAAATATTCGATTCAAAAAATCATCGAACAGCAAAGTAAATTTCTACCCAAGTAGCATTTTTCGTATCTTCTAAAAATATTTATTTAAGTAAACATTTACAGTCTACTGATCATTAAAACTGTTACTTTCGTAAATCATTGAAACTATTGTTGGACAATTCTTCAATTAAAAGACTTACTTTATTCTACGGTATGATTCGCTATGTTACGAAAATACAGCACGTAACGTTTGTATTGTATATAGATTTCTATTTTTAAATTGTTTTTATTTAAATCTAATGTGACCACAAATATAAATGACATGCTAATTTATTAAGTATGCAGAAAAATAAGATATGATCTAATAAAAAATATAGTAATAAGACATGATAAGTCAAAATGAATTATAAATACGATCCAAATAAGAATGAACTTATAAGCAAATCTAATACATTATCTATACATGAATTTACCTTTCCGAAGCTACCCTTGCCCAAAACCATAAGGAAATTGAAATCTGATGCCCTTATTAAATCGCTCTTTCCCATATTGTGCGGAACATCTTTATCCTGCGTCGTTGGAGTCTTTTTCGTAACCGATGTTTTCTGTAAATACGTTAATACATGTGTAATAAAAAGATAAGCAAACAAAAAATATATGTTTTACATATACACTAACGGTTAACATTATTTTACAATCTTACGAAATAATAGAAAGTTTACTTAAATAAGAGCCGTATCAACATTTTCTTAGTTTCCAATACGAAATATTAAGTGTTCGGCAAAAAAAAATAATAATTACGGTCCATTTGAATATGTCATACATAAAAAAAAAAACTTCATTTGCGCAAAAAGTGTATTGTCAATATATTGAATTAAATATTTTATTCACGTCGTATTTATAATTCAGCTTATTAGTTATTAGTCCCAAAGTTTTTTAATTTTCAGTGTTCTGATTAAATTCAAATCTTCCAAGGGTGTCCTATGTAAAATTATAACAAGTACACACTTTACGAAATAAACAATAACTTTTTATAAGAGCAAGATAAAAATAAAAAACATATATTTTATATCATAAAAAATGTAATTATGCAAATTCAATTAATTATAATAATTAATTAGATGAATAAGCCTGTTGGTTGCCGCACATTTTCTTAAATAATCGGACTGAACACAGCCATTCTCATTTCCTTCTTCACATTGTTTTTCACGTGATACATAGACTTTATCATAGCAACTGCTGAAAAGCCAGCTTTGTACAAATAAGAAATTACAAATGGAATTAAAGTTATAAAAACAGTGTAATATTTCACAACACACCTGTGAGGAAGTCTCTACGGTACATACTTTGAGAACCACTGGTACAGAAATTTAATTTTTTAATCTGATTGTGAATGTGCTATCTATCAATGTGTATGACACATTCAAAAAATTATTTAACTTTTGATCCACAAGATGAATTTGTTCACGTGGGTAGATCAGAAATGATTAATAAAAGAATATGCCTGAAAAAGAACATTGTCTCAAAAAATTACGACTCAAATTTTTTTTCGTCCAAATGAGTCTTTTCTCAACGCGATTTCAGTATTAAGTATTTCTTTCTGGACCATAATTGAAAGACAACTAATGCATTCTAAACGAAGCATTTCGGAGAATGAGAATTCTGTTACATGCTTGCTTTTAAATCTACTTTTAAGTGGTTTAAAAACAAAATTTAGCAGGACATGATTCTTGAAAAATATTGTATCACGCACTATAATTCAAAACCTTTCAGAATAAATGAATGAAATATTAGGTCATTTGTTATAAAATGTCCGATTTCGAACTAAATTAATCGGAGTGATCGGACGTTTCATTGACCTAATAAATTGCCAGTCGTATATTTTCATGATAATATTGGAAAAATAAATTGGTTTTACTCGAAATTTTATGAAAAAAAGGGATAAAACTTACAAAATGCTTATAAAATATTTTAATCCTAGTTTCATCGAAAAAGCCATTTCTCGTTTTCAGTACTGTCTTACGTATTCTTTGAACCCTAAGTAATACGAATTATTTTAGGTCATTAAGCATGAAATGTCTGATTTCGAACTAAAAGTATGCGGAGTAATGAGACGTTTCATACTTAATGACAACATCCTGATTCAATGGTTCCCAAAATTTGCATTGTAACGCTCAAAGGATGCACCGCGACGCTCGTTTTTCAATTCGATTTGATAAAATGCGAAATTAAGCGAATTTGGTGCAAACCAGTAACTAACTTAATATTTGTTTCATGAAATCTCAACGAATAAAACGTGTTTTATATATTTTTAGCCAATCCTTTAATAAAAAGAACTTTTAAGTTTTCTGCAAGATGAATTTTATAGATTTTAACGCAAGGCGTCTTGAGAAAACTTGAACTTAACAAATAACGCCGAAGATAAAAAACGTTTGAGAAACACTGTTCTAACTTATAAACTCAATTATAAACGCGATCAAAAAAATATTCAATTCGATATATTGAAAATACTTTTTGCATAAATGATGAATGAAACAATCAGCGAGATTGAACGTAATTATGAATTTATTGAACAATTTTTTTTTCTATGCAAATACTAAAAAAAATTAGATGCTGGATTAAGTTAAACCAACTTTCTATTATTTTTGAACTTGATAAAATAATTTCTTTCCGGTATAGTGTAAATCGAAAAATTCATTATCGAATATACCAGATTCCTTAGATCATGCTAATTATTCTACATTCGAAGTTAGTCATAAGTTATTTTACTCACCCGCATTTTACTTCTAAGTTCTGCTAAATCAACCCCCTCTTCTGGCACAGGTACATTATAAAATTCTCCTTCTTCTTGAGTAAGAAGTTTAAACCAACCACTAGCTGGCGCCTTTATCAGTTCTGATATGCCAAAAGAAAGTGATCCCATAAAATCATTTCGAGAAGTTCGATCCCAATCCCAAACTTCGATTAACAATCGTCTATCTTTATCTTCCGGTTTAAGATCACTGAAAACAGGTAATCGTATTACATAGGTAATTCTTTATGTTCTCTAATTATAATTTTTATGTTTAAATTAATAAAAATAAAAGTAATATTAAATAAAATATCATTTTTATTATTATTCAATTTTAAAACAAAACATTCCATTTAATAAAGGAACTGAGATGCTGTTATGAATCCTCCTTGATTTTCGTAATATAAAAATAGCATTAAACGGTTCGTGGTATTGTTGTCTATGACATTTATTATTAACAAATATAAAAAAATGAGCAAATCAAGTACGTGCTATTATCAAAAAGTAAATCTTATTGTTTTACTTCTTCTGATATTAAATAAATGGCGTATTTATTTTACCATTAAAGATAATAACACTGTTCTACAAAACAT